TTTTAAGTGCCCGGTTGCGAGACGGCAATGAAGAAACCTCTTTCATACTTTTGTTTGATTTAATGATGACGTCACTGGGTCATTTTATTTCAATTATTTCTTTCTTATTTCCTTATCCGATAATTATGATTTGATTATATTGATGTTAATATAGGTCTCAATTCTAAATGACCCACTGAAATGCTGTTAAACACCTAAATGAAATTAATTTAATTTATCTCCGTAGCTGATATGATCAAACTCTTCATCATCCACTTGCCCTTATCCCTTATGGAGGGTCGGCACAGTATGTACTGCTCTTCCATACATTTCTATCAGCCGTCATATCTGAATTCACTCCTTTCTTAAGCATATCCTCTTTCACACAATCCATCCCTACTTTCTTCGGTCTTCCTCTTCCTTTGTAGCCATCCACATTCAATAAATTAATACAAAAAATTTAGAAGTCACATTGACCGAAATAACGCATTCGAAATCGTGACAAACATCCAACACCTTCAAACTTAAGCACACAAATGTATCTGTGAAGTAAAATGTCTCGCGCGATGTGTACGAAGTCAAGACTGCATAACGGTTCTAGGACGTGGTAAGTACAACGGCAAACAACATCAATACACTCTTAGCGGAGTAGGATGCTGCCACCTAGTGCGCACTCGATTTATGGAGCTACGAAATACATTAGCTTTAGAGATTGTCACATTGTAAGATAACAAAACTCGGAAGATACGTGGATTATTTTGTTTTTCAAAACATCTGTATTGTAAATGCAAATATTTGTATTGTACTGTATTTGGACAACTTTCTACAATTTTTTTCCAATCATGTCCTTAACAAAAGTAACTGTTAAAAGTCTAGCTTAATGTGCTCTGGATAATCTTCGATCTACAGATTTCAAATATCCTTACTAATGAAATAATTTCAGCAAGAAACGAGAGTTATCCTTTATTCAAAATTTTAGTATGGATCTTTCCGCATAAATGGACAACGCCTTGAAATGCTGCTCACATGGTGGGAAACTATTCAACAGAGGCATTAGAGAGCATTACCACTGACACATATTTTACTCAATAAAATCATTAATCAGTCGAAAACTTGGCATCGGGTTGTATGTTTTCGAGGAAAGTGTTCCAGTGAGTATAATCCTTACGCCCGAGGCGTTTGCCAAGACTTAAAGCCATTCATTCACTTGGCATGCGACTAGCGTTCTGCTCATAATTGCTGCTTCATATAGTACTTTTCCTATTGTTATGTGTCGCCTTGCATCTCTAATTGTATAGCAATCGAGACCTGCACGTATAATCGACATGCTCTATTCTTTGCGGAATATCAGAGGTATCGGGTCTATGAGCACATCCGTGATCGTCCCTACATAACAATGAGGCAACATACCGATGTCTTGTTCGCAGCTTTCTGCTTGCCTGGTGTTATGAATTGTTAAATCAGGTTTAAAATTTTAAACTAAAGTTAACTTGACTTGGTTACTGAAAATATTTTATCAAAAACAAATGTTGAGGCTTTGTTAAAAATAACATCTTCAATACAGGTTTTCGTCTCACCACTGGTATTCCTGTTTCGTAAGAGACCAGGAAAAATTGTTCATTCAAGTTTAGGATAGCAACCGTCTTTAGAAAAGCGTAAATAAAATAGACCACCATCATTACAATAAGGATTTATAAATCCATTCACTAAAAGTTTATAAAAATCTTTACTCGCCTTTTATAACACCCACGCGAGGATACGGGTCGATGTAGGCATCTTAATAAAATTGTTTTTAGAAACTTATCATCTTTTAGATACAGAAATTAAAAAAAAATAGGACTAATTTTGTACTACTGCGGTTACCAAAAATGCAATCAACAAAACTAAGGTAACAGATATAGGAACAAGAGTCGGTGTAAACAATATCAACGGGCCGATAAAATAACCTCAATAATTTAGTGTAGTTCTTCCAAATGATTCAACCCACTTATTATGTTGAATCTAAAATTATATTATTCTTAACTCTAATGTGAATAAAATTCCAATTGCCCACACTTTTAAAAGGGACTTCATATTTTGACATTAAACGATAAAAATAATATAGCTATTGAATAACAGAATGATATAGAAACAAACGATTATAGTCCTTAGTACACTGGCTTTAAGATTCAAAAGACTACTGTTAATAGAAATCGTTAGTATATCGTAACATCCGCGTGAAATGTTAGAACAACTATCAGAGCACAAATGTATCATTATATTATTAACTTATCTTCTCACCCTTGACAATAACAATGGCTCTTGAAATATTCGATAGCGTTATTCGTGACCAAAAGCTTTTCGTAGTTTAACTGCTATTTGACATGCGATGTTTTAATTCAATTCGACAACAGGTGGGGTGCCGGGTCAAAAGTTGATGCTTACAAGGGTATCATGTGATTTAGTAAGGTTTGTCGTTGAATCGTGACTAGGATTTTATCTAAGCATGCCGAGATCTACGTGGGCAGTTAATTTTTGTCAAAGTACCGTTACTTGTCTACATTTTGAAATTAGATAAACGCAAGTATGGGTACATAATTAACAATAATGTGTCTTAAAAAATATATAATAAGGCCTTTTAGATGTTCTGATTTCGTTCAATATATACGCATTTCCGTATGTACTTCTATCGTTGCTAAAATTGTTTTCAAATTTTATTTCGCGCGCAATTCAATTGAAAATATAAAAAAGTACACGTGGACTACGATACTTTTATGAAAAGATTTTTTAGAAGCGTACAGAATTCTAATATTTTTTTTAAAAATGTTCGCAAAGACGTTAATTGAAGGCTGCTGACAAGATACGGCGATAACCTAAAAGCGCGCGTGTTTTTTCAGTAACTCAGCCAATCTGAAAAGGTGATGTAACCACATATTCCTTTTTATTTTGCAAAATCTATAAAAGTCGTAAATCTTCACTACATTAGATTCGTAACCGAGCACAATTTTACTGTTTAGAAATATACTTCTATAATGCACTCGGCAAGTGGGCAGTTATGAAAAATTTAATACACCCACTTCGAGGATTTTCAAAGGAGATTGTCAAATAAACCTCTTAGTGTAGTCGAAGATATGACGAGATTTGCATAAGAAGGCAGCGACCGACTCCCGCAATACACGATCGTGTTGCGCATCTGAATTGCGTCTTATATTTGCAAATATTGACTCTTGCCCGCACCCTTTCGGAGGGTTTCGATCCTTATTCTCTTAAGATAATTTATCTAGTGCCAATCCGCTTAACATGGGAAAAAGGGACTCTTCTTTTTCAGCATATTTGATATTTACGCCTACACTGTATTATATATGAAATATTTTAGTTTACGTTCCACACTCTTTTTGTAATGACATATACCCTGAAATAAAAATCTCTCTAAGAAATAGTCTTGCGGATATTCAAAACAAATCCCTTTATAAAACTATTAAACAATTTTCGCAATGATAAACTGAAATCGTAACTCTTAGTTCTTTAAGCTAGGAGAATACCAAATGAATTTCTAAACCATGCCTTTTTATAAAGCAAAATCAAACGAAAGATATGCAAAGCATTGTTCCAAAAATTACAGCATTTATAAATTATGCAGATAAACGTGATGGAAACGAAAGCACATGGTGCCTGCGAGTACTAAATAAAAATTGAATCGTCCAAATTAAAGCGGGGATTACAGTTTTTATATGCAAATGTAGTCGACCAACGTAACAAGTGCAGCTGCGACCCGAAATAAAGTCCGTCAGTCTCTCATTACATCTTCATGAGCGGTGCGGACCGCGGGCTAAACGTGACATAGCCCTTGGTAAACTTTCAGAATGAAACGAACAAATTCATGTTATCAAAGACAATATCTTCATCATAGTAAAACTTCGTATAACACAAAATATAGGTACAGAGTAATTTATTAATTTTAAAGAATGTTTTGTTTCATCGAAAAACTTAGTAAGTTTATTTGTTCTCCCTGGCTATGTTTTTAATTTTTGTCAAATTTCTTTATTACTAAATAAGCCTATCTGGTGACTTCTTATACCCTTATCCCATTGCTTCTGAAAAGCTTGTATGCAATGCCATCAGATAGGAACAACACACATTATCTCAATAAAAAATATTCATCGAAGAACCAAATTCTAATCCTATATGCTTGAAACGTATGAATCCGAAAGTAAAATGAATAACTCTGATTTTTTCAAATCCATGAATCAATTTTTACATGGACAATCCATCTTATTTGATATTCATGTCTCGTAAAGTTTTGCAAATCATACATTGTGAATCACGTTCGCTTTGTTTCATAAGCCAGGTGACTTGCCTCAATGAGGATAGCAAAGCTTTTAAGATTGTATCAGGTCATGATTGCCTCGATGCTTTGCGTTTCACAAATTGACGTATGCTGACTTGTTAACCGCTTTAACTCATCGTAATTGCCCTTTACAAGCTTTATTATAAAAGTATTTTGCTGTTCAATAAGTTAACGTACATGCAAGATTAAGTTTCATTACAACTAAAACCAGGGCTTAAATAAAACGATTCGACAGTTTTTTAAACCTAAGATAAGGTTAAGTATAACCACAAGTATATTTATAGGCGTACACAACTTTTAAAGATTATAATAATTTGATAAATAAAGATCACTAACGATCGAGTACTGAAACGACATTTAAATATGTGACATCTGAAATGATAGCAGCACACATAATTTCAAATTTCATTAAAATTTTGATGTCTGTCAGCGGCGCTCACGAAGCAAAGTGTTTCAGTATTCGGTCGCAATTTAAACAAAAAACAGTCAATCAAATAATCTTAGTCATTGCGTAAAGCCATAGGAGATAAGAAATCCCAGTGTACCTTAGGCCTATGCGGATATTTAAGTGTGCTTGTACCATTGAGTCATGATGAATTAGCATGACGGCATACTCATGTCAGTTGAATAGCAAGCGATAAAATCGAAGTCAAACCGCAGAGCAGAGGTCTGTCGTATGATAATTTGTACTTACATGGAACCGGCGCAAGCAGTCGACTTTCACACATTCATTGATGGGCCTGTAACACGGAAAATGATGTCATTGTAAATTTAACTATGAGTATGCCATTGTGGTCACGTGTGAGATAATGTAATATTTTATAGCAAAAGTACAATATCTGTCTAATGTAATCAATCTTACTAATATTATAAATGCGATAGTTTGGATGGATGGATGTTTGTTAGAGTTTGGAGCATAAACGGCTGGACGGACCTCTATAAAATTTGCCATTGATGTAGAACATAGTCTGGAAGAATACGTGGGCTACTTACTTTTGTTTTTCTTTTTTTTTTAATTCCATGGAGTTTAATTCGATGGAGTCGCAGGCGAAAGCTAGTTACAAATAAAAACATAGAAGAAAATCTGGCTGACTATCTTTTACATCAAAAGTACATGTACATGTATGTTTAAAAAATCATTTTTTTAACTAAGTTTATGTACACTAAAAAAGTAATAAAAAGACGTAAAAAATTGTGATCAAATATAAATATTACTACAAACATTTTCGGTCGTTTGCTTTCTTATCTTTTATTGGAATTGAACGCATGATATTTTCTGAACAAATTATAAAATTATAATTACTGCTTGTGACTTCTTAGAGACCGCCTTTAGAAAAACGGAAATGCGTTATCGTTTTAATTAATGTTATTATAATTCTAATAACATTGTATATTGTTACTTATATTTGTTTCAATAATTATATATTTTTTTGTTTTTAATTTCCGTTTCTCGTTTGGTCTATAACTACAAATTTATACTTATAACCTTTGTAACTTTATTGTTTGCGTTCAAATAAACTAGTTGTTCCCGTGCGGCTTCATCTGCATGAGAACAGCGTTTTTTGCAATTTATTTACTCCCTATGTTTAATAGCGTGTCGTAAGTGTATAGCTTTTTATCAAAAAAAGAGTTATTGAAAAATATGCTGTGATAGCTGATATCCTACATAACTAAGTGGTGTGTTTAAGTTCATTACATTAGTATTAGTATAGAAGTATAGATAGATAGGTATAGATATAGAGTATAGATTAAGATATAGACAGATGATCTAGATAATTGATAGAGTTTGGATGCAATGTATTATTTAGTTGCCACACCAAATATTTATTTTATTTTGATTAGTGATATAATTTCGTACAATTAATTCCAGTTTTTCAAGCTACATTAATAATGTCATACGAAGTTGAAATAATACAATTAAATTGTTACAAAATAGATTATATCCATTTGAACGGGTTACAGCCGGTGCAAACCGCATTAACGAGGGAGTAAAAGAACAAAAGCCGACCGCAGTCAGATGACACGCGCCTCTGTGGCCGGATGAACTGCGTCTATGTATTTTACTTGAAGCCTCCATCGATGAAGCATTGTGATTTTTCTATACAACTCATTTAATGTTTAGAATTTTTAGTTCGTATTTTAAATAGGTCAGTATTAAAGACTGAGTTTCTGTTAGCCATGTATAAAAGTCTGTATATTACTTAAGTTGAAAAAAAAAAGAATATCTGTCAGTTTTAATTCGATTTACGAATTATTTTCTGTATCTTTTGTTAGGCCCTCAATTGTTTTCTTAAGCTTTTCAATAGTTTGTTAATTTTAATGACTGTAAATTGTATTGTCATAAGGTGATTTAACATGAGAAATGATCTGTCATTTTATATACAGGATGTTATTATTTCGAACCATCTAAAACTTTTTACAGGGAGCGTGGCTCGTTTCCCCGCCGTAGTTTTGCGGTCGTTTTATCGACAAAAAGCACTAAACGGTCGGCAGGCACGTCATCAAAACAATCATAGAGGTATCGGTTTTAGTTCGGCGTCGTTGGTGATCTGTTTTGTGGTTAGGACGGAACTGCACGTCCGTTTGAAATGAGCTCGGTAATGATTTGTTCGGTCGATAAACCTTGACACGAGATTCTCTTGTTACCTACCGTCTATATCTTCTATACGTATAATAAAATCAGAGTACCTGTTTGTAATATCAAAAGAAAAATTCCATATTTCTGGAAGATTATGTATTTGCGTTACTGATAACGATAATTGCATTATTTGTCTGTCTCTCTGTCTGTCCGCAAGCCGCGTTTGTTCCGGGCAATCTCCGAAACAGCTTGGCCGATTTCGAACGGACTTTCACTAAAGGGTAGCTGACATAGACAGGAATATCACAGGCTACTTTTTATCTTGATATTGCGTAGACGAAATCGCGGGCAACAGCTAGTCCAAAATGTGATATGTAATTACATTTCTATCTTATCTGAATTCCGTTTTAATAACAGTAACATCTTTGATGCAACCGATTTTTGAAACAAAGGCTTTTATTAAATAATAGAAGTTTCTTAATTATAGCTAATTAATCAATCATTTTGAGGCATTAAGAAATGTTAGCAATAATTATCCAAATCTATTTATCATCAATAATGAAGAAATCTACCGATGTAGTTGAGTATTTGTTTGTCAAAATCATCTACAAGTTCAATTATTCAAAGTGCTCATAAAACCTTAAATCGTAGTCCAACCAAACAACGGAAGTTTGTATAGAGACCCGCCGAACTGGTTCCCTCTAATTAATATGGAAACAAAGCTAGAAATTCATTGTACGATTTCTCTTGAACAGTTTTTTGGCGCCCCACCACGTTACTACACTATATCTGTCTCATCTAGTCGTAAGCTTATAAATGATATCTGATAAGACCTAGTACATATTGATGAACTGATTTTTTTTTTGATTAAATTTAACTCCCAATCAAACAAATTTATTAAAATAAATAAACAAATAATGCATCTTAAGCGATGATTAAAACTTTAACACTTTCCTATCGGAAGTCTGAAATATAAAACGCTACCAAATTCCGCTATCCGCTTCGTCAATCAATATAACATGACCTTACATTAAAATTCCTTATCGGAGATATCTCGGGCGACAATATACGATTGGTGACATTGGACCGAATCTTAGCAGGAGATCAAACCACAGACCGAATGATTCTGTTAGACAGGACAATATTTATTGGGTTTTGAAGACATAGATAAATTATATCAGAAGTGCTGGAATTAAAAATAATTACTTGGAATGTTTATAGCAAAGTGTTTCGTCTGATTAGTGTGGTGCCCGAGGCCTAAATATAGTCCCTTTCCCTTTCCACCCTTTTCTTGAGAGGAAAAGGTGGGAAGGAAAATGGATTTGACGGTGGAGGAGACTCATAGGAAGGAGAAATGTCCTCTTTATGTGCGTCTCCTCCTCCGTCAATTAAGGGTAGGCAATGCATCTGTAATTGCGGATGTTTATGGGCAGCGGTCGCTTTCCATTTTGGTGGATTCAAGTTGCTCTTTTGCCACCTTATACTATAAAAAAAATATTTGAGTCTAACAATAATTTACAAATTACCACTGCGCTTTAAATATGAACCGGCCTTCACCTGGTATCCGATCAATATCAAAACAAAGGCCTATATCTGTGTCACTCGTAGTTTATTGTGTCAAGTACCAAAATCAAGTGATCGCTATACAAACTCAATTACAAATAAAGTCACAATATTGAAACTAATTGTACGATTGATACAGAAAAATAATTCCAATCAACATCAGTATCTGTAGCGATTTTCCCATTGTATTTAATTTTGATAATGATGACACTAAAACTCTTCTTTAAAATAAATTACGTTCACAGATTTAAGTATTATGACTTAAGTTGGGACTGAGTTTTCCATGCGTTTTATTATCAGTGACTTTTACTTCAGTTCCAATCCGTAGATATGTTACTTACTTCGCTATAGCCCAGGTTCTTCGACAATTGTTTGCTTACAAATCTATTTAGCTTGATTTACAAAAACCTTGATTTGATTAACAGTACAGTCCCTTAAGCACGATATATCAATTGATTACTATTACACAAAATGGCTACAAAAGTGGAGGATGGAAGAAACTATTGACAAATTTTGTTAAAAATAAAAATAGTTAAGAAGGGAGTGGAATTCAGATATTACTATTACTGCTAATAGAGATATACAGAAGAGTATTACTGCTACACCGACCCTCGGTAGGGACCAGGTTGATCATGAACTATTACTCAAAATCGGAAAAGTTTTGAGGAGAATTATGTGTTTAAAACAATATGCTGGTTTTAAGAATCGTAAACCAAACGTTGTTCAACAAAATCTCAAGGCTAGTCTACCTAGTCTAAAATAAACACCATAAACTATCGCTTCAAAGAAAAATCGTAAAGTTAACATCTTAAGTTCCAGTAAGCAACAAGCGCCCTCGGGTTTCGAAATCGATAGATGCGTGAGTCACACACGATGGGAAACAGTCGTCTTTGTCTGAGTTGACACGTTACTTAGCCGCTCTATTTACAAAGCTTTTAGCAAACCCCCCGCTTACTTAAACTTAAAGTAAATAACATTCGCCTTGTCTGTAATTCAGTTAAAGTTTAAAACAACTAATTTATATGTAGTATCTTTTATACAGGTCTGAATCCAAAAAAAAAACTAATAAAACCTATGTTTTACATGCTTGGCTGTCTTTTTTGATTTTTCTCACACATTTTAAATTATGTTTTACCATATACATGAGTGTAAAAAAGCGTGTACAATCGTCAGTAGCGTAAATTAAAGATTGAAAGACCCTTTTAAATTTCATTGTAAATTTTTATCAACGATAAACCTTGATTGAGATTAAGTACCCACATGTCATAAAATAATTTCCTATTTAAAATTGAAATGGTTCGATGTTTTCTATGTTAACGTAAAAAAAAATGTTTGAAATTAAACGAATTCTCTTATTCATTCCCATGAGTACCAAAATGCATTTTTTCCTTATAGTAATTTTCTTTCCTATTCCAAAAATTTTAATTAGAAAGTCAAATTTAAAACAATCCTAAATTATAAAACCAATTTATTTTTTTACGTTTTGGTTTCAAACTAAAAAGCCTCTTATTGTAAATCAGCGTGGGTTTGAAGTATGCTTTACTTGACACTTGTCCAACGTAATTAACGAAAGGATTCACGTGGAATAACCATCAGCTAACTGGTAGCCATTAGACATGTTACTTCGTTTTCCACTTATCTCACAATCAAATTAATTAATACCGGTTTTTGCTCGAACAAGGTCGTAATTCTGTCATCTCGATTCGGTTTGGCGTAGTTCGGAACATCTCGATTCACCCACACGATGTTGTAATTAAGCTTAAGTTGAGTAACTTAATGCAAACGGATTAATGATACGGAGCTGTTTATTTTTAACTAAACACCGTTTTTCTTTTTAATTATACAATTTCGCTCTCGTATGCAAGTGGAAATCGACATACTATTTGTTTGAAAACTATCGAATTACAATCCCTTTGATGTTAATTCAAATATTTGGATTTAGCTCTTTCTATTTAAAATTCTGTTTTTAAGATACCTACTACATTTACTTGAAACTATAGGGGTTCAAGTAAATAAGTAAGTAGTAAATTATAAATATAAGTAAATAGTATAACAGCCGAATATTGAAACGAACATTCGCTCCTCTTCCGAAGCACCGCTTCCTTGAGAGACGATAAAATTTTAATGAAGTTTAACGTGGCCTTATTTTTTAAGAAGCTGTACATATTTAAATGGCGTTTCAATATTCGATTCGAAAGAATAAGCCGTAGAATTAATTTTATTCATACTCGTTGCATACAATAGATATGAAATAACAATTTTTCAATCGTTTTATTTGGATTAACTGTTCCCGATATCGAGTACTGTATCAACAAACGCATTACGCGACGTGTGTAGCTATGATAATAATTAACAAAATCTCACAAAGTCATGCAGAACGCGGGTCCGTCTGCATTCGTTCTGGTGGCGTGGCGAATGCTCGCCGACGTCGCCGGCGCTCGCGACCATGCGCTTGCGCAACGCCGCCTCATTACACTGGAACAAAGTTGAGTGTAGGTAACTTTTGTTCGCTTAAGTTATGAACTTTTTTTTTGTATTACAATAGAACAATATTGTAAAGTAGCATTTACATGAGAGTACAATACGACAATTGAGAATAAAATAATATTTTAATAAAATACATCAGGACCAACCATTTTAACCATTGAGGTTTATTTTGCGTTTTTTTTTATTAAACTAAATTAATCGTTTATGTAATATAAAAATTAAAAAAAAAACACAGACAGTTTTAATTAATTGGAATGACCCTTATTAAAATGACGTCTGAAATACAAAGGCCACTGCGATATCAACTGCAGCAATTTTCAGTACTAAAATCCAAAACATCTATGCTCAGTTTTTAGAAAACTAATCCTTAGAATAGTCATAAAATTAAAATGAAATCTTACTAATATTATAAATGCGAAAGTTTGGATGGATGGATGTTTACTAGAGGTTGTAAGCTAAATCACTGAACGGATCTGTATAAAATTAGGCATAGATGTAGAGGATAATCTGGAAGAACACATATGCAACTTACTTTTTTTTAGTTATAAAGCTGGTTAATTTCGTAATTTAATTATAACAACAATTAAAATTTTATAAAATCACTTTACACTATAACAATTATACTGAAGTTCAAAGCTTTCGTTGTCGTTATACACACAACGTTGACCCAATTTGTTACGCTGCGAGATAAAATACATAGTTCATAGAAAGCAGGAAGTGAGTGCGCTGGGATACAAATTGTAAAAGGATTCACGACAATAGTTCTACTCGAAACCGTGTAATGCACGTTACTGTTAAACATAAAAAATATTCATGCGTAAATGTTCAACAAATAGGGAGGAAATATTAATAGTCACTGCAAATGTAACTCGCACAAAGTTTAATAAAGTAACCGATCTAACTCAAACTTCATTTGTACCAATTTTCTTTAAACTTAAATTCCCTTCAAGACATTTTTTCATCTGCACATTTTATTGTATTGTTTACATGTGTCAAATTATCAATTGCAAATATCAAAATGACATGACGATGACAAACCATGGCAGCCTTGCTTCCTTAATGTTAGCAGCAACTTATGGTCTCTTTCCTGCATTAGGAAATTTATCTAAAATATTTACTCCCTGAGTTAAATGGCGTGAAAATATATAGCCTAAAGCGTGACGTAAGTGTAGGGCTTATTATTAAAAAAGGAACTATTCAAAAATATGCTGTAATTGCTGACATCTTAGGCAAAAAAGAAATGTGTGTTTACGCTTTATTATAATAGTATAGATATATAGTATATAGTATAGAAGAAGCATAGATTAATTAATGCATATAAAAAGCGTAATACCATGGCAGTAAAATCAAGTATATTACAAAAATATGTAATAAAAAGGCTGTAGAGATTCCATCTATAAAGATCGTCTTGATGTAAACATCGCTACGTTAAATATTATTTTTTCCATTTCAAAGACGTTTCTCTAAAGTCTAGTGTACTTATTTGAAAAGTGGCAGCGGTTAACATCGCTTCCCTTTAGAATGTTTCCACTTTGCTTTTAAATTTTTTAAAACGAAAAGGGTTATCTTGATACAATTCATGTATTTTATAATTTTCTCCCTTTAAATAAAATTTTCTGAGACAAGCAAGTGAACTTTTTCTTAAAAATCTTCAAATATTCATAACAAATCAACTTTATTTTTATCTTTAGGTATAAGTGCTAAATTAATTAATACTATGTGATTATTTATTACTTCTCATACTTTCTCAAAAATTCGATGGTTCACTCAATATGTCTATGTAGTCAGAATTGATAGATTACATCACAATTAAATTGTTATCTAATATTAAAAGGAACCAATTTTCCAGCAAAGCATTCTATAGTAACAAAACTTTTGATATTTATTCTCATTAAGAGCAGTAAAAGATATAATCTTTTATATTTCAAGCGAATCGATCCAATTATAACATTAAAAGAAATCAAGAAATTAATTAAGAAGAACACGCGTCCAAAGCAACTTGTAAGCATTTTATAGCTGAGGCAGTTGCGAGAGACGCCTCCTAATTGAACAGGACGGAAGAGGAATCAAAGAGAATGATTACATTCCCCTAAAAATTTCAAGGGGATGCAATACGTAGGGTAGGACGCGAAGCGTGGACAAAATACTTTTAGGGGTTGAATTGGACTGTGTATGTTATGAACGTATAAAAATGGATATGACATTGATTTTTTTTAGATACAATGTTGCTATTAAATTACATTTTTTCACACTGAGTTTTATCTAAATTAACACAAACACTTATGTGTATATGACCTTTATTTTTCATTATTACTCATAGTTATTAATTTAGAATATAATAATATGCCACATCTAATATTCGCAGTTCATTGTGACACACATAGGTCAAAGTTATTGTACGACGGGTGAGATTCCACGGCAGTAATGTCATTGCTAAGATTTCACCCGAAATTGCTTCATGTTATTTGTCGGAAAAGGGGGTGAACACATCTATCTTCGATTGACAGTATGGTCCAAAGCGAAACTATAATTTACTATTCATTTAACTGTGGAGTACTTTATTACAAATAAAATAAATTTTATTTGTAGAATAATAATTTGTTTATCGTACAAACGATATTTCATCTTCATCTCAAACTTACTGCATTGGCCCAGCGACCGAAA